TTTCACCAAAGTTAAAATTGTTCTGCTTTAATAAACAACATCCTTCCAATTAAAAAAATACAGGGATGGGTATTTGATCATTGTATAATTGAAATCCAAGCACAAAACATTATAAAACTACAACTGTACCTCATGGTGTTTCACTAATAAAAATTTTTTTAAAAATACAGGATGAGATAAAATACCAATCAATCATAATTTATTATAAGATTTATAACCAGAATTGTTAAAAACACAACTTTTACAATTTAATACTCAAAAGATAACCCAGTTAAATATGGTTCCTGGAGAGAAAGTAGAGAAGGGTGGAAGAAATGGGTAGCAGGGTAATTTGGGGATAGAATTATGGTGGTGCGTGTGGTGAATACGGCACACATACGAGGGCATGAATGAAATCCCCCAGAATTTCATTATATTATTGATAATAAATCAATAAGAATGAGAAATGTTTCTAGACAATTGCCCAAACAAAGTACTCAGTCATCAAACATTTTTTCAAAAATTCTGATATTAAAAGAAATTAGAGTAATGCAAATAAAATCACTTTAGGAAACCATTTCCCAGTTACTAAGACAGTCATAATTTTAAAATGTGGAACTGGAGAAATAGTACACACCTTTTATTAAACTGACCCTGCATTGATCCTCGCAACACATGATACCCCTCAAGCATCTCAGAGTGTGACCTTGGAGGTCTCTGAGCACCTATTCAGTGGTTCAGGTAATTCCAGGCACTGTAGGACCTTCATAGAACCATATTCTCTAACTATTGCAACCCTTTATTCTCTGCCCCTCTATTTAACCACAGACCCAGATGGCCAAGAATCACAGGCAGGTGCCCTGGGTCCCCTTTGCACTGATTAGAAAGTCCAGTTCACCAAAAAAAGAAAAAAAAGAAAGGGTTAACAGTATGTAAAAAATTGGAATCTTCATACATTATTTGTATCCATAAAATAGGATACACATTCTTGAAAATAATTTGGAGTTCTTCAAAGATTAAATACAGAGATACAATATGACCCAAAAATTCTACCCCTAGTTCACTACCTAAAGAATTACTTTTGAAAATGCTGGAAAGTTCTGACCCAGATAGAGCTAAGAGGGGAAAGAGTTCAGTTATTCACAGACTTTGAGAAACTTTTAAGTAAACGCTCTGCTGCAAGAGATAGCAGTAGACAAAGTACTTGACAAAATCAACAAAATGCTTTGCATAATAGACCAACTACTCCTTTCAAGATAGTTATAAAAAGCTGGCTGAGAGCTAAGAAAGAAATAGATAAAAGGTACTGAGATACGTTCATTTGGAAAACAGTGCATCAGGATTTGCCAATATCAAAGAACTAGTAAACTATCGTCTTTCAAGACCAAAATAGATTATGAAAAGAAATATAAAATGTTCTAGACAATTTATCTAAATATCGATTCTAACTACTGCAAAGTCCCCACTGAGCCTCAACTCCTTAGAAAAAAAGTATTTGTCATATTATAGTGCTGCATTCTGGGAATACAATTGGAATATAAATATTAAGTGGCTAGGTAAGTTGTAGTCATTTTTTTAATTAAAGTGTATTTTTTAGATTTTTATTAATGAAACGCCATGAGGTACAGTTGCAGACTTACACATTTTTGTGCTTGGGTTTCAGTTATACAATGATCGAATACCCATCCCTCCACCAGTGCCCACTCTCCACCACCACCACCACCTTCCCAGCATCCCTCTCCCTCCCCCCTTTCCCTCCCACCCTGCCTCCTTGGCAGGGCACTCCCCTTTGTTCTCTCTCTCCTTTTGGGTGCTGTTGTTTGCAAAAGAGGCACTGAGTGCCAATCATGTGCTGAGAGTAGTCTTTTTTTAATATCTAAAAGAAAACTCCACAGAGGCTGGAGAGATAGCACAGTGGGTAGAGCATTTGCTTTGCACGCAGCCTACCTGGGTTTGATTCCCAGCATCCCATATAGTCCTCTGAGCACTGCCAGGAGTAACTCCTGAGTGCAGATCCAGGAGTAACCCCTGGGCATCGCTGGGTGTTAAATAAATAAAAAAAATAAAAGAAACCTCCACAAATAATCAACAAAGTTTCATATAAATCCATAATTTTTATTACTCCTTTTGTTCAAATAACATGTTGAATTAAGGTTAAGAAAAGAATCAACTTCAGTTTCTTTTAGGAAAAATCATTATACATATATTATAGCACTGTCCTCCCATTGTTCATCGATTTGCTCTAGAGGGCACCAGTAACGTTTCAATTGTGAGACTTGTTGCTACTGTTTTTGGCATACCGAATATGTCAGGGTAGCTTGCCAGGCTTTGCTGTGCAGGCGTGATACTCTCGGTAGCTTGCCGAGCTCAGGCTCTCTAAGAGGGACAAAGGGATCGAACCTGGGTCGGCCACATGCAAGGCAAACGCCCTACCCACTGTGCTATCACTCCAGCCCTTAGGTATATTAAGTATAAAATTTTTCAGAACTACAAAAGTTTAAAAAATTCCCCAACAATTAACTCTTGCATATTAACATACAAAAACAAAATTGGAAAGAAGGGATATGTTTTATCTGAGGGAAATAATTATAAAGGAAGCCTCTAGAATTGTTGAGATATTTTAGTCAAAGTTGATAAATATTACATACAATATAGGAAATATTAGTGGTTTGACTTAAAACGTGCCTGTCTTTCACCAACCAAATCACATTGCTACAATGTAAGTGAAAGAAAGAGTAAGAAAAAGTCCGTGTTTAAATTGGGCTGGAGGATTGGTTCCATTCTTATTAACTTGATATATTTTAATAAAAGTCAAGAATTTTCTATATTAGAAATGAAAAATCTCTGTCTTCTTAAGAGCTAGGAATACCAATTTTCCCTTTCACTGGATGCCACACAATCAATGTAGCAATCACAAACAAGGAAGGGTTAAATATTTGTCTTCTGGCATCATATCCTACAAAATATTCACTATTTTATATCATCAATTCAATCAGTCATTTGCTAAATAAACAATTTCCATTAAGACATGATAAAAATCAACTAGCTCACTGTACAACTGATGAGAAGAACTTTGTTGTCTTCAGTCACTCTAAAATTTTCAGTTGATTATTCATACTGTTAACTGATGGGAGGGGGCACATAGAAAAGGAAAGCTTCCAGTGACTTGGAATCTATCATGATAGATAATGGCGCACCTTAGATGTCCCTCTCAGAAAAGTTAATAGAGGAGATTCCACTGTGGCAGTCCAAGAAAAAAAAAATAAGACTACAAAGTAAAACCATTCTTATGAAAATAAGGTGTTTTATCATATGCTTAAACAACATGGTCCCAATTTTAAAACCCAAATGAAAGGAACAAACAAACAAAGAAAAACACATTGACAGTATAAATGAAGCCTTTGAAAATCCAGTAAGCAAAACATTAAAACTGTAATAAAATATAAAGCCTGATAAATCCCCGGTTCTTTAGTAATCCAGAAAATATTTTCTATGAAATCCTGTTCTCTTTCTTTTAATGCTGTTGGGAGATTTATCAACCTTCCAAGAACAGAATCATCAGTGAAAGAAGGCAAATTGTAGGACTTAAGTTGTCAAAGATATCATGGTTGATAACATTTCAAATCACAGATAAAACCAAATAGCTACAGAAAGAGAACAAGACATGAGTGCATGAGAATATCAAGCAGAACTGACCAGTTAGTCATTCCCTCCCTCACTGAGATAAATAAATAGCTTAGTTTTCTACAGTGGAGGGGAGTTGTGGAGGAATCTTCAACATAGTCTCCAAGGATCACAATTAATGGGATAAAAAAGAATTTTTAATAAGCAAAATGAAACTAACTGCTACTTTTCTCATGTACTAATTAAAACTCTTGGACAAGTTTATGTCTCATAGGTCACTAACAGTTATTACTCAATTTGTTAGAGCTAACAGCTAATTTTAAAATACAACATGTGCTGAAAATAAAGAAATATACCGAAGAACTTTAATCTTCCTTCCCAAAAGCAGTTTTCTCAGCATGCTAGAACAGCTAGATCTTTTAAACACTGTCCCCAACACTTATAAATCAGACTCAAATTGGGTAAAATTGTTCATAAAAGCATAGTTTCCCTTCCTATAGGATCATATCTATAGATATGAGGCAAAACTGAAGTTGAAGATGTATATTTTAACAATCCACAGAGAAACACTTTACAAGAGAAAATAATTTCAAGCATCTTTTTTCAACATAGTAAATGAGAATGAAAATTCTACCCAGCATTTACTAAGAATGCCCTTTAGTTTACTTCCACCTTTGTGTGCCCTAACCCTGCCTTGCTGGATTTTCTCATCAGATTTCCACCTATGTGGCAAATATTGGTTTTTTTTAGGGATTGGAATTTCCCTCTTCTTCAGAAACCTCAGAACCTAGAGATTACATTATTTAGATAATAGACATTCCATTTTTTTATCAATTTGGAGGAGGTGGACTAAAAAAATTTTGGTGCTATCTTTGCCTCTATCTGATAGATTACTGGACAATGACTAGATGGCAAACCCTCTCAGTCCCTAAGAGGAGACACTATCTGAATTTCTGGTCCAGGTTCTTACATTTTAGGAAGGGGAATAGAAAAAGAAGCTGGGGGGTGGGGGGACTCTAAAAGCTGTGTTTCATAAGGTGGTACTTGCAATTGGATTTAAGTTGGTGCTCTGCAGAATATCAAGTAATATGAAGCAGTGAGAATTTTAGAGGCTGTGGGTGGGAAATCGTTAAGGAATAAGAAAAGGCATGCCAGCACCCAGGTTTAGCAACAGCAGAGATTGGGAAACACAGTGGAGGTTTGGGGCCAACAGGTATACTCTTAGGTCATGTATTTAGGAAAGACTCCAGATTTAGAGATTTAAAGACTGCCTTTTCTAAGGAACCTTGATGACAGCCTCCACTCAGGGGATAATATTCACGAGGAATGGAGAGAATAAATACCCCAATTTATCACAGACTAAGTCATACTAAAATATATTTCTAAAAGGAACTTACCGCATATCACCATAAGGTCCAGGGAAGCTCTCCATCCAGGGTCCCATTTCGCTTTTGACACAGCTGGGACTTGGGTAGGACACTCTGCTCACAACCCCACCGGGATACCACATATCAGGGGGAGGAAAGTCATTTTCCTGGCCTGTTAGTCCTTGGGGTGGACGAGTATAGCCATAGGGGACTACAGCCCCTGACTCCCCTGTGGTGCTGCCACTACCGCCCCCGCTACAGGGTGCATACAACTGGCCTTCTTCAGCTGTGAAGAGAGTGTGCCATGAAGAGGAGGGAGCCGCTGTCGGTGAGCCTGTGCCTGTGTCGGGTCCTGATGCACCCCCTCCATGCAGGCTTGCCAGGTCTCCATAGCGGCATTGTGCTGCTGCAGCGGCCCAGGCGCTGCCATAATCCAGGGGATTCTCCAGCTTGATGCGGGCGTGAGGATGAGGAAGTGGTGGAGGAGGGGGCGGCGGCCCCGTTAGCGCTATTGGAAAGTTGTAGTAGTCGCGACTCTGATAGGAGGCAGCTTCATCTAGTGTTCCAGACTTGTAGAGTGAGAGGGTGGATGGCAGTGTTCCGGGGCTCACTGCTTCGCTGCTGCCAGTGCAGCCCAGGCTCTCAACTTCCAGTCCTTTGGCATAAGCTGCTTTGAAAGGAGAATATTCACCAGTATCTTCGGTGCTCTTGCCTGGACCGTCATCCAGCAGCGAACCTTTGCATTCAGCGAGTGCAGCGCAAGAAGTGGGACGCAAAGCGGTTGGACCGCCCAAGAGCTGCGCGTACATGCAATCCCCCCGAAGCTGTTCACCAGGACTCAGATGTTCCATTGCCTCCACACCCAAGCCCATGGACACGGACACTGCCTTACATAACTCCTTGGCGCTGTCAGAGATAGTCGAGGTGCCCCCTAGATAACTGTCCTTGGAGGAGATGAGAGCCCCAGCGGCCTCCCTCACTCTCCCGCTGCTGCTGCCTTCTGATATCACCTCTTGCTGCTGCTGCTGTTGCTGCTGTTGCTGCTGCTGCTGCTGCTGCTGCTGCTGCTGCAAGAGTTGCATGGTACCCGCCTCGCTTAAGATATCTTTAAGATCAGTAGAGCAGCTACTTAAACCCGGGAAAGAGGGACCCAGCAAGGACAACGTGGATGGGGCAGCTGAGTCATCCTCATCAGGAGGAGCTGGCGGCTGATGCAGCCCCTTGCCCGAGGCAGTGGCAGCTCTGGTCTCTGATATGCAGCTGCTCTCCGGGTGGTCCTCAGTGGCGGATCTAAAAGAAGGAAGCGGTTCCTCATTCACGGCCAAGTAGCCTGTGGGGCCTCTGTTCAGTGTTAGGGGAGAACCATCTTCATTCTGATGGTGCTGCTGCTGTGTGCTTGTCTCCTGCAGCTGCAAACGGAGGCCTGGAGGTGCTGCGCTGGAGGCCTCAGGGTACCTGGGAACTGGATTCTGGATCACATCACGCACACTCTGGAACAGGTTCTGGAAAGCACCTCGATAGGTCTTCGATGGCGGGCGGGGATAGACCCTCCCCAGCCCTAACTGCACCTCCATTCTTGAGCTTGGCTAAATCCTACACTTTATTCCTTTACCCCGCCTCCTCCTGCTGAGAAGAGTTCAACAGGCTGTGATGCGTAGCTGCGTAGTCGCTGCAGCCTAGCTGCCCACCTGCAGGAAGCTCCTGGGAAGGAAACTTGCAGGAATGGCCACCAGAAAGTAATCCGAAGGTGTAGGACTCCTACGGGGGAAAGTCCCCGCTGGACAGGATCTGACCTGCTAGGCTCAGTCAGTTCTTGAATATTTGGGGAGCAGATTAAAAAGATGCTAAAATCTTAAAGGAAAAAATAAAAAACGGAAATCCCCAGCTTTCCAAATCCAGCGTCCAATGAAGCAGGTGCAAATACAAATCAATTTTTCTGTTTTGATTTTGCTTGTTTTTCTAGATTTTCCCCCTTCCTTTTCGGTTTTTTGTTTTGTTTTGGTTTTGGTTACTGAAACTCTGAATGCCTTTTCATGGTTTGATCTCTGGCCCAGCAAACTGACTGGGAAGGAGCACGCAGGGGGAATGGAAGGGGATTGAGGGGAACCTGGTGTCCCACCCTGCGTCCCGCCTAACCAGCTAAGTCTCGATGCAGTGCCAAAGCCGCTCCCCAGTCGCCCAGTTCCCAAGAGCAATCTTTGCAAGAAGCAGTGAGCTCGCCTTCCTGCAGCCAAAGGGAGTTACCTCTTCGCAAATGGGCTGGCAGAGCTGGGCCGGCTTGGGGGAGGGGGTGCGGTAGAAAGGAGAGTGCAGACAGCAGCAGGAGAGGAGACCCGGGCGAAGGAGTGGGGTGTAAGGGAGGGGAAACGGCAGCCGTCAGTCCTACCAGGCACTTTCTTTGCTTCCTCCGAGTCTCTAGCAGCTTAAAAAAAAACTTCAGCGAGGAGGAAAGGGCCGCTTGGGGCGGTGGCTTCGGAGCCGCCGCGCTGCAAAATGCGTGGGCTGTTGCCAGAGCCTTGCTGAGGTTTAGGTACTGCGCTTCTAGGCTTCTGTCCCGCACTGGGGCTGCAAGCTCGGTCGCTTTATCTCTGTCGCCAAGCTTCCTCGAGACCCTCCGGCTCTCCCAGCACACTGGTTCCCCGGGATCTCGGAGTGGGCGCTGGGAGGTGGAGAGCAAATGCAACAGTTTGCGAGTCGGGTCCCGCCCCCGCAGGGCCGTCCTCCTTGCCTCCCCACCTCCTTTTTTCTCCCCTCCCCTTTCCTTTCCTCCCCTCCCCTCACCGTGAGCTAATGCCTGGTGGCTTTGGCGTAAAGAGTTCCTACGCAGCGTGGGTGAGGGCAGGAAAAGATTCTAGCTCGAGCCAGGGAGGACCTGAGTTCTCTAAATCTCCTGCTCTTCTGGACCAGGATTTAGGTCTCAGGGCTGTAGCATTAACCGGGAGCTTTATTTTGAGGCCAGGCTTACCTTAACTAGCATTTACTAGATTTGGTTCCGAAGTCCAATTTCAAAACTAGTCACTTGTGGGAGAAGGGAGCAGGATTACCAGCTCCTTCGCTCTTTCTGCCGTAGGGTAGCCTGAAAAGTGCAGCCAGGGGTGGGGTGTCGGGGAGATTTTTCTCATAGAAACTGAGAAATGAGGTATGACCAAGCCGGTCTATACTTGTTGAAACCTTTTAGATTTATCCTTAGCGGTAGATTGGGCCTCTTGGCATGGTGCCCTTTGCTCTAAGAACCTTCTGTCTGGGAAAGATAGGTCATTTCTAACAGTTCCTTCCTCTTCCCATGTCTAGTATTGCCTCTAACCACACAATCTTTGCTTATCCACACAGCAAACTGAAAATCATCCTCTAGATGAGCATGCAAATGTATAAGCAACACAAACATTTGCCATGAATGTGTCCAGGATTTTTTAGGAGGCTCATGATTACAGGGCTTGCCTTTCTAAATTGCCTTGGTTTATTTTAAACTTTAAAACAGACTGCCTTTAAATTCTATTTTTATTTTCGATGTAACAATTATTCATAGTATTATTTATATTTCTGTAGTGCTTTAACACTATTCTTCTGAGTTAAGTTTTCACCCCAAACCTCATTAAGTGCTGATATCCCTCCATTACATTCCACTGGACCTCTAGTCTTTGTATCTACTATGGTCCCTATTCTGATACCCTCAGGTTAAGTGTTCACAGGGCTGTTTTTCTTCCTCTTGGTGGGCAGCCAAAGTGGAGAGTAACAAGGGGTAATGCAAGTGCACCTTTGTGAAGGAAGTTCCATGTCCTTTGTGAAGTTGGAATGAAACATAAGAGGAAATGAAAGAGCAGGCATGTAGAGAAAGTAAGGGTCGTGCACACATGAGGGTTAAATTTCTTAGAATTTAAGTTCTCCTGAATCTGGGAAGAGCTAATGGAGAGTTTTGCTCAAACCTCTTAACTGTTTACATGTTTCAAAAGAGCTGTATCTTGTTCACAGCCAAAAATTATGAACATTCACTTACCCTGATCTTAGAAGGTAACTTAATCCTAAAGGCAGGAAGAAGAGGATCAGCTCTGTTTTCCAGATGAAGACACCAGCCAACGCAAATTCATAATTTATTCTATGTTCCCCATTAAGAGAACCTAAACTAGTCTTCCATCTCATTGCTATTTTTGTTTGACTCATCATGTTAAGAGCACTTGGGAAAAAGCTATAAATGAATCTTGCAAAAGGAAAAGGACTGAGGAATTTTTCATCCAAAGATATGAAAATTATTTTCCCCTGGGAATTTAAGAGATTAATTCTTGCCTCAAAATACGCCAAATATACCCATGTTTATTGGCGAAGCGTCTCACAAATCACCCTTTCTGTTAGACATAAGCCTTTTTAGTCAATTAGCCAAATTATAACAAAGCTAATTCTAAATTTAATATTATAACGAGGAACCTTAGAATATTTTCTCTTTTCTTTAAGTTTTAAAAGTTTATTGATTTACATTAGTTTACAATGCTATATAAGTTTTAGTAGTATAACTTCACAACTTTATAAGTGTATGTACCTCACAGCACCCTCAACCAAGCTTTTTAAAAACTTTTCAAGATCAAATACCCTTTTCTTCCATTACCTTTTTCCTCTAATAACCACCGTATCTTTATGTCTAAGTGTTATTTCCCTTGTGATTTGTTCGCTCATTTGATTTGGCTATTTATGTTCCAACTGAATATGTATTCAGTTTCTTTATGCATTAATTAGTGGATGAGCATTTAGGTTTTTTTCCATGTCTTAAGTTTTGAGAATAATGTTGCTGTGCACATAGAGGTAAATATCTTTTTAAATTTGAATATTAATATTCATGGGCTAAATATCTAGGAATGGTATCACTGGATAATTTGGTATTTTTTAGTTTTTCTGCCTTTTATGTTTGTTGTTGTTCCATACTTGACCCAATAGTGCTCAGGAGCTATTCCTGACTCTGTGCACAGGAGTCATTTCTGGAGTTGCTCAAGGGAGCATATGTGCTGCCAGGAATCAAACCAGGGTATTTTTAGTTTTTGAAAGTATTTCCATACCTTGTACATGGAGAATGTAATAATTTATTTTACCACCAATTGTGTATGAGAGTTTTCTTTACATCTACGAACCCTTATTTCAAATGTTTTTTATAGGTTATTCTCCCCTGTGTGAGATGTACCTCTTTTTGGTTTGATTTTCATTTCCATAAAAGAAGTACTTTTGAGATTTTGTTTTTCATTTTCATGTTGGCCATCTGTACTTTATTTGTACAGAAGTATCTATTCAGTTCATTTTTTATTTTTTAAGAGTGGGATGCCCATATGATGTTTGTTATTATTGAGTTATAAGAGATCATTGTATAGACGAGATTGGGTATTTTCAGGATGATATAGGGATTACTAAGTCAATGATGGTTGGAGGGAATGCTCGGGATGGGAGATGTGTGCTGAAAGTAGATAAAGACCAAACATGATGGCCTCTCATATGTGTATTGCAAACCATAATACCCAAAAGTAGAAAGAGAGCAAGCATAGAAGCAGGGGGTGGTTTCGGGTGGAGGTGGCAGGAGGGATACTGGGAACATTGGTGGTGGAAAATGTACACTGGTGGAAGGATGGGTGTTTGATCATTTTATGACTGAAAATCATAAAAACTTTGTAATTGTATCTCACGGTGATTCAATAAAAAGTAAAGAAAATAGTTATTTGTATATTTGAATATTAATCTCTTGCCAGTAGTATGATGTGAAAGTATCTCATCCTAATTCTAGGTTGCCTTTCTCTTTTTGTTCTAATTTCTTGTGGTAAAGCACTTTTAATTTGATGCAGTCTAATTTGTTTATTCTTGCTTTTGTTTCCTTTGACACTAAAGTTGAATATCTCAATGCATCTTTGATATTGAGATACTAGAATAAATAGCATGCTTTATACTATTTATTTTGTCATTTGGAGTCTATTATGGTTGTTAAATGAGATTCCAGTTTTTCCAAGACTTTCGGTGTTGAACGTTCTTGGATCTAGGAAAAAATGCATCACATTTATCTATAATTGTGGTTTCATATAGCATATTTTCATTGCCCTAAAAATTATCTGTATTCTGCAAATATATCCTTCCAACCTAAGGTGACTTTGGTTGATATTATATAATGTGGTTATGTCAATTGTTATAAATGTAGTACAAATGTGGGTAACCTCAATAATGAAGGAGACAATGCATGTATAGGGGAAGGGGTTGTGCAAGAAACATCTATAAATTCCTTCTGTTTTGTTTTGAATATTAAACTGCTTGGATTACCATGTGTTACTGAGAGTAGAATCCAAGCCATATGCATGAAATTTTCTATGCACTATAACCCCTGAACTACCTCCCACACCCTAAAAGTGAAACTTAATTGTGGTGGAAAAAGTCACACCAAACAGTACTCAAGAACTGCTTCTGATACTATGATCAGGGGTCACTCTGGCTGTGTTCTGGGGATCATATGTGAAACCAAGGATAAAATAATAAACCTTAACTTAAACAAAAGTAACTCTGGTTGTTCAACACAGAACTGAATGTAATAAAAATAATGGATAGAGGGATAACATTTGCAGTGGTCCACATAAGAGCGACAGAGATGAAGAGAATTTTGTTCATTTGTGAGATTCTTAGGAAATAAAACCTTTAAGAAATGGATAATTTCATATAATTAAAATCAAACAACATGAAACCTCACAGAGACGGTTCTATCATTTATTATATTTTAAGATTTCTCCACGTTTTCAATGACTTCATGGCTAATTTCTTTAAAGTAATATTTTACTTATCTGAATATATCATATCTTATAATTATCTATAACGGACGTTTATATGCTTCTGAATTTTATCAGTTATGAGTAAAAGTGCCATAGACATCATGGACAGGTTATTTTAGGTACATGCTCTCTTTTCAAAGGATGAATTTTGAATGATGATGAATTCTAATGTATCAATT